GTGCGTGCGTGCGTGTGTGTGTGTGTGTGTGTGTGTATGTGTGTGTGTGCGCGCGCGCGCGTGCGTGATTGTGTGTATATGCGTGTGTGGGAGGGGGAGGTACGTGCATGCTTGCGTGCGTACGTGCGTGCAGATATGTGTACATGATGTCTGTCTATATGTACGCGCGTGCGTACATGCATGTCTACATGATGGCTCTCTATATGTACGCGCGTGCGTACATGCATGTCTACACGATGTCTGTCTATATGTACGCGCGTGCGTACATGCATGTCTACATGATGTCTGTCTATATGTACGCGCGTGCGTACATGCATGTCTACATGATGGCTCTCTATATGTACGCGCGTGCGTACATGCACGTCTACATGATGTCTGTCTATATGTACGCGCGTGCGTACATGCATGTCTACATGATGTCTGTCTATATGTACGCGCGTGCGTACATGCATGTCTACATGATGTCTGTCTATATGTACGCGCGGTGACGTACTTGCATGTCTAATCACATATCTAGTCTATATGTAACGCGGCGTGCGTAGCATGCATGTCATAACAATGATGTCTGTCATAGTATGTAGCGCAGTGACGTACATGCATTGTCTACATGATGTCTAGTCTATAATGTTACGCGTGTGCGTACATAGCACGTCTAGCATGAATGTCTGTCTATATGTAACGCGCAGTGACGTACATGCATGTCTACATGATTGTCTGTCTATATGTACGCGCAGTGCGTACATGCATTGATCTACTTATGGCCTGTCTATAAATGTACGTCGTCGTGCGTACATGCGATGTCTACATGATGTTCTGTCTATATGTAGACACGTGCGTAACAAGCAGCGTCTACATGATGTCTGTCTATATGATAGCGTGCGTGCGTAGCATGCATGTCTACATAGATGGCTGTCTAATGTAACGCGCGTGCGTACAATGCACGTCTAGCAATGATGTCTGTCTATAATGTACGACAGCAGGTGCGTACATGATGTCTACCATGATGCTGTCTATATGTACGCGCCGTGCAGTACAATGCATGTCCTTACATGATTCTGATCTAATATGTACGCGGATCAGTGCGTACATGCACGTCATACATGATGTCTGTCTAATTATGTACCGTCTGAGGCGTTGGCTGAGTATTAATTGCTACACGCTAGAATAAAGCGTCGTCAAAACACACAGAGAGATGTTATCGCAATGTGCCAGTTCGATGTTTTCCAGCGAGATAGAAGGGGGCTTGTTGACACAGAAACAGAGAGGAAAGAGATAGAGAGAGAGAGAAAGAAAGAGAGGAGGGGGGGCGCGAAAAGCGAGATAGCAAAGAGAGAGAGAGAGAGAGAGAGAGAAGAGAGGAGGCGCGCGAAAGCGAAATGAAAGAGAGGAGAGAAGAGCGAGAGAGAGAGAGAGAGACGAGAGAGAGAGAACCGACCGAGAGAGCGAGAGAGAGAGAGAGAGCGAAAGAGAGAGAGAGAAAGCGAGAAAGAGAGAGAGAGAGAGAGAGAGAGAGAGAGAGGGAGTGAGAGAGAGGGAGAGAGAGAGAAAAAGAGAGAAAGGGAGAGCGAGAGAAAGAGCCAGGCAGAGAAAGGGAAATACGCATGTTATTCACAGCGTCTTAAACCCTATAATAATTTAAACTTGTTAGTTTGCGCACAACAAGTAACTTGTTGATAATATTAACGTCTGTAAACTTGTTACTCTGCCCTCCACAGCGTCGCATTTGTCGACCGTAACTTGCGATTTATTTTATTTTATTTATTTATTTTGCTTACTCTGGCAATGGGAAAAAAAAGAAAAAGAAGGAAGAAAAAAAAAAGGAAGAGTAGTGATCCGGAACCAGGGCGTTACATGTGGGTTCGCTTCCATTCAGACGAAAGCATCGAATACAGCGGCTTCCAAATCTTCTACAAGTTCCTGATCAACAGAGGTAAGAAGGGGGACGAAGACACGTCCGGAGACAATGTGGGCGAAGGAGTAGGTGAGGAAAGAGATTTTTTTCTTCCCTCCCTCTCCTCCCCCTCTCTCCCTCCCCCTCTTATTTTCTCGACCCGATGTGGCTTGTGTGGTCCGCTATGAGTGCATTCACCGCGTGCACGCTTTTATTAATAGAGCAGTCAGTAACGCAGTCGTCCGATGCTCGAAAGCGTACTCGCGGGTGGACAACCTAGATCCTCGTGTGCACTTTGAGTAGGGTTCGTTACCAGGCAGGAGCTATAGTGGCTCAACTATCCGGTCGTAGAAACCCAATATAAGTATTGTAGCGAAATTAGTCAAAAATGTCAAGGTACAATGTCAATGGCAGTCCAGGCTTAAACTGTTTTTTCTTCAGGCCTTCATCGCTACAACTAATCTAAAACTGTTGCAAATCGAACTTTTCTCCCTTTTTCAGACACGAGAAGACTTGCTGTGGACGGTACGTACATTAGCAAACTTACAAACCTAAACAGATATTAAACCCATCGTTTACTGTAGGACTTTTTTTAATTTCACTCATTTTACAATTTTAGTATTTCGCGATGTTTCCGGTGTGCGGTATATAAATAAATGAAGAAATAAATAAATAAATATATATAATATATCGAGAGAAGATAATAAATAAGATAGATAGATATAGATTAGATAGATAGATAAATAAAATTAGAATAGATAGAATAGAGATATATATATATATATAATTATTATATATATATATTAGATATATAATATATAGATAAGATAAGATAGATAAATAGATAGATAGAATAGATAGATAGATAGATAGATAGATAGATAGATAGAATAGATAGATAGATAAGATAGATTAGATAGATAGATAGAATAGATAGATGGATAAGATAGATAAGATAGATAGATAGATGAAGAATAGATAGATTAGAATAGATAATAGATAATAGATAGATAGATAGATAAGATAAGATATATACATAGATATCCATAAGATAGATAGATAGAATAGATAAAGTAGAATATATATGATAGATAGATAAGATAGAATAGATAAGATATGAGATAGAATAGATAGATAGATAGGATAGATAGGTTGTCGATAGATAGAAGATAGATAGAATAGATAGATAGATAAGATAAAATAGATAGATAGATAGAATAGATAGATAGATAGATAGATTAGAATAGATGGATAGATAGCATAGATAGATAGATAGATAGATACGATAGATAGATAGATAGATAGAATAGATAGTAATAGATAGATAGATAGATTAAGAACAGACAGACTAGATAGATAATATAAGATAGATAGATAGAATAGATAGATAGATAGATAGATAGATAGATAAGATAGATAGATAGATAGATAGATAAGATAGATAGATAGATAGATAGATAAAGATAGATAGATGATGGATAGATAGATAGATAGGATAGATAGATAAGAATAGATAGATAGATAAGATAGGATAGAAAATAAATAGATAGATAGATAGATAGATAAACAGACAGATCAGATAGATAGATAGAATAAAATAATAGGATATGATAGATAGATTAGATAGATAGATAAGAGTAGATAGATAGATCAGATAGAAATAGATAGAAATAGATAGATAGATAGATAGATAGATAATAGATAGATAGATGGATAGATAGATAGATAGATAGATGGATGGATAGATAGACCGATAAATAGATTATAGATAAATAGACAGACAGATATTCATAGACATTCATACACGATATACGTCACACCACCGACGAATTGTCTTCAATCTATGAATTCTGCAGAGTGTTGGAACATCATGCAAGGTCAGATCGAGGGGGATATCGACTCCAGCGCGGTGGGAAACAAGCAGAGGCAGTTTGCCATGAATCACAGCCTCCCGCACGAGTGTGCCTGGGACATCCGAGTTCTGCGTGGCTACAGGGTGAGTAGGAGATGAACGAGGAGGAGAAGGAGCAAGAGGAGGAGAAGAAGCAGGAGGAGGGGAAGGATGGGGAGGAGGAGGGGGAGGATCACGTGGTGGGAGAGAGCGAGAGGGATCGAGAGAAGAAAAGAGAGAGGAGGGGGAGGATCACGCGGTGGGAGAGACCGAGAGGGATCGAGAGAGGGAGAGAGAGAAGGAGGGGAGGAGAGAGAGAGGAGGGAAAGAGAGAGAGAGACGAGACCTGACAGTAATCTGATTTGCTTGGTTATCGTCGCCGAGGATTGTAGAGCTAGTTGTAGAGCTAGTTGTAGAGGCTAGTTGCTGCCGGTACCGGGGATGCAGGCGACAGTGATGAGAAGTTATATACACACACATACACACACATAACACGTACGCACGCACGCCGCACTGACACAGACAAGACACACGCGCGCACACGCACTACACACACACACACATAACATACACAAACACACACACAACACAGGCAACACAATCACACAGGAGGTCACACACACACAGACGCCCAACACGACACACACACATAACAGTAGGCATACACAAACACACACCGCATCACCACACACACACACACACACACGGCACATACACACACACACATATACACACCGGGGCACACGCACGAACGCACACAACGAGGGGGGGGGACACAACAGCACACATACACGCACACAACCACACAACCACACACACACACAGGAGCGGGCACACAGCACAGACACATATACACACGCGCGGCAATCACATACTCATGCAACGCACAGCACACACACTCACAAACTCACACCACATACGCTCGCACTGCGCGCGTTCTCCTTCTCCTCTATCTTCTCTCTCTCTCGTCGTCTCTTCTCTCTCTCCTCTCGCCGCTCTCTCTCTCTCGTCATCTCTCTCCCTCGTCTCTCTCCTCTTCTCCTCTCTCTCACTCTTCTCTCTCTCTCTCTTCTTGCTCTCCTCTCTCTCTCTCTCATCATTCATCTGTATCTCTGTGCTCGAAGCCCAAGCTCATTCTCTCGCTGCCGGCTGCGCTAAACGGCGCACGTAACTCCTCGCATGTTACAGCCGTCGGTCCGGGAGTCGCGTGAGACGAGGGAGAATTTATTAATAGCAATCAATTAACAATTCCGGATTGACAGATGGAAGAGATGCAGACGAATCGCTTGCGGGTGTTATGTAATGAGATGCTTACTGGCTCGGCGTGACGCGTTTAATATATAATTAACTGCATATATATATATACATGCATATGATATAATATATATGTTAATATTATATATCATATATATGCATGTATATAATACTATATATACACACGTCAGCGCGTAACGTCTGGGCAGCAGTAAATATATAACATGTCTATATATATTTATATAATATAGGCATATAATGAGCATGTATATATTAATAATAGAATATATATATATATATATATATATATACTCGCGGTTCTCGATAACGCGAGAGAACACACTGCTGCTTTGCTGTGTTAGTGATCATGGGACACTCACCGCGAGAGATCATGTTGCGGTGATACAATAATCGGTAATAAGCAAAACCAAAAATATATAGTTATCGCACGATGGAGGAAGGAGGTTAAGGAAGGCTGGGGAGGGGTGAGGAAGTGGCGAAGAGCTGGGGAGGGGTTGAGTGATGTGTGGGAGCTGAGGGGAGGGGTGAGGATGTGTTAGAGCTGTTGAGAGCGGGGGGAAGAGTGAGGATGTGGTTGAGAGCGTTGGGGGGAGGTGAGAATGTTGTGAGAGCTGGGGAGGGGTAAGGATGGTGATGAGAGCTGTGGGGAAGGGTGGAGGATGTTGTGAGGACTTGGGGGAGGGGTGAGGATGTGTGAGAAAGCTGGGGGGGGAGGGGTGAGGATGTGTAAGAAAGCTGGGGGGTGGAGGGTGAGGATGTGTGAGAGCTGTGAGAGCTGGGGGAAGTGAGGATGTGTGAGAGCTGGGAGGAGGTGTGCAGAAGTGTGAGAGCTGGCGGAGGGGTGAGGATGTGTGAGACTGGGGGAGGGGTGAGTGTGAGAGCTGGGGGGAGGTGTGAGGATGTGTTGAGAGCTGGGGGGAGGGTGAGGATGTGTGAGAGCTGGGGGGAGGGTGAGTATGTAATGCAGAGGGCTGGGAGGAGGGGTGAGGATTGTGTGTAGAGCTGGGGGAGGTGGGAATATGATTGCTGGGGGGAGGGGTGAGATGTGCGAGTGCTGGAACATCACGCCCTGTGCTAATAATACGAGAGTAATCTATATATAAAATATATATATATATATATATAATATCGAATGTAATTTATATTTAACGCGATGGATGGGAGGTGAGGTGCTGGGCTAGGGGGAGGATGTGTGTGTGTGTGTGTGTGTGTGGTTGTGTGTGTGTGTGTTGTGTGTGTGTGTGTGTATGTGTGTGTGTACGCGCGCGGTGCTGTGTGTTGTGTGTGTGTGTGTGTGTGTGTGTGTGTGTGCTGTGTGGTGTGTGTGTGTGTGTATGTCGTGTGTGTACGTGTGTGTAACGTGTGTGTGTGTGTGGTGTGTTGTGTGTGTGTAGTGTGTGTGTGTGTGTGAGAGAGAGAGAGAGTTGTGAGGTGACGGAGGAATGAGGACGTGAGGGAGGCTAGAATACAAACTCCTGGTGCGATAATAGGAGAGTCAGGGGGTCGATGCATCTATATATGCATTCATATTTACCGCGTCAGCGCGTGCTAGGACACGTACATGCGTTATGCGTTAATTCTCGCGTTGATGCTATCACACTCACATCTCAGCTTCCCCGCGATTATGTCCGTGCACGCGTAGCGGCGGGAGAATGACGGACGCACGCAGGATTTAATTAAGCTGCCATAAATGACTCAAATAATAGCCCCCAGGGATTGCTTGGTGGTTGGGGGGTTGTTGGGGCGTGGCTCCGGGGAGGGGGACCCGAAAAATTAATCACTGGCGGCTGTCCCACAGGAATTTACGCCGGAATAGCGAGGCGGATTAATTTTCATCGGTATATATTCATTCACAAGGCACTGAGCAACGTACGCTACGCAACGCAACCGCCACGCACGCAGCACTGCCACACATTACACACATACACCACGTACACACTACACCACAGCACATACACACGGATACACACACAACACACACACACACACACACACACCACACACGCACACACACACGCCGGGCCACGCATGCACGGCATGCCGACGCACACCACACGCAGCACGCACACACACCACGCACACACACACCACGCACACACACAACACAAACGATGCTCTTTTCTATCCGCGTTTGTAGCGCGACTATATAAGAGAGCGGATGGATGGATGGATGGAACTGGATGGATTAGGTTATCAAGAGTACATAAAGAGATTCTTTTATGATGAAGATAATCTCTATTATGTAGCTCTGGATACATTATTCGATAAGTGATTCATGAGCGGCAGACTCCGCCTGAAGGCGTGGCGTGCGGCGTAGGCGTAGCGTGGCGTGCGTGGTGTGTGTGTAGCGATACAAGCGTGCGTGCGTGCAGGCGTGCAGGCGTGCGTGCGTGCCGTGGCGTGCGGCGTGAAGAAGGAAGGGCAGCAAGCAGCAAGCGGGGTG